CAGATAAACAAATGAAATATTTATCCTTGTTTTAATACACTAGTGGTCAAAAGTTTGGAATATTTAACATTTTTAATGTTTCTGAAAGAAGTTTCTTCTGTACACCAAGGCTGCATTTATTTGATCAAAAATACAGTAAAAATTGTGAAATATTTTTACAATGTAAAACAGCTGTTTTCTATGTGAATATCTGTTAAACTGTAATATATTTCTGTGATGCGCAGCTGTATTTTCAGCATCATTACTCCAGTCTTCAGTGTCACATGATCTTCAGAAATCATTCTAATATGCTGATTTGAATTATTATTACTGCACAATTATTATTAATGGTTCTTTTTATTATCAGTGTTTTGCTTCTTAATATTTTATGTGGAAACTTTGACTGAATTTCAAATAGAAATCAGTTTTAAATTTAAAATCAGCATATTAGAATGATTTCTGAAGGATCATGTGACAGTCAAGACTGGAGGAATGATGTTGAAAATTCAGCTTTGATCACAGAAATAAATGACATTTTACTATATATTCACAAAGAAAAGAGTTATTTTAAATTGCAATAATATTTCAATTTTTTTATTTAATTTTTGATCAAATAAATGCAGCCTTGGTGAGCAGAAGACATAAAAAAACATTAATTGTTCAAAGTGTTTTATTTATTTATTTATTTGTTTAATTATTTAATTTAATTTTAGATCTATATGTTTAAGTATTGCCCTTTTGTCAACTGTTGTTCCTTCATGAAAATGAAGTACTGTTGACTGAGCTGTGTGTTTTTAAGAAAAGCATCGAGGTTAAACGTGATAGCATCTGCTGAGTGATCATGTGTCTCAGTATCAGAGTGTCGTTCACAGAGAAGTGTACAGCAGGCGTTGAGCTAATTTTTACACAGGGTTACAGGACTGGTCTGTGGGTTTAACGGATGCAGAGCTGGAAGCCTCTGGCAGTTACTGCTCTTTAAGACGAGCGCTGCAGATTTATGGCCTGTGAGAGGGATACAGTAGGGCGACCGTTATTAAGGGTGCTGCAATTAAACTGACAATTTGTAATGTAAATCGTCTTAGTTCTGCCCCTGTCAGGCGCTGGATAATCAGAGCGGCTCGCAGCCGGCGGAAATCAATTCTCAGGCCTGACTCTATCTTTTTTCTCCTCTTCCTTCCTTCTCTCATCTGTTTATGTGTCTCTCTGCTCTTATACAAGCTCTCTTCACTTGCGCATTAGCTTTATTATTTCTCTGTCTTTCTGTCTGTCTAGCTTTCATCATTTACTCTGCCCTTTATTCCTTGACCTTTTTTCCTTCTTATTTTAGTGTTTATATTCTACTCATTAATATATTTTTTAAAACTTGCTTTATTTTTATATTTTCTGTTTTCATTTAATTTTAGTTTAGGTTTTAGTAATTTGTGTGCTTTAGTTTTTTTTTTATTGTTTCTTATTTATTTATTTTATAAATTTTTTGTTTATTAGTTTTTGTTTTTTTATTGAGCTTTAATATATTTTGTGTCAGTTTTAGTAATTTGAGCATTTCAGTAATTTACCAAAGCAGCATATCTAATTTTTATTTAGTAGTTGATGTACTAGAATAACTACAACTGAAATAAAGATGAATAAAAACTATATAGACATTAAATAAATAAATGAAAAAATACATGCACGAATGATAAACAACAACTTTGCTAAAACTTGAACTAAAATTAAAATAAAAATTTAAATATATAAAAATGAAATCATTAGAAAAAAAAACCGAATAATAAAATAATGAATACTCATTCAGAATATTAATAATTACAACATTTCAATAATTTAAAAATATAAAAACTAATAATAAAATAGTAAAATATAAAAACTCATTCAAAATATTAATAACGTCTCTCAACTGTCAATGATACTAAAATAAAATAAAATATTAATTAGATTGTGTCCATTTCTTGGCCTTCATTCCTTTTCCATACATTGCATTCTCTTTCTCTCTCTCTTTATTTAAAGCTACGCTGCTCTTTATTTATTGTGACTGTACAGAGCAGGAGTCGTGAATTGATTTCATTTCTTGTGGAGTGGAACCATTTAGCGCAGATGCAGAAAGATGTCCCGCTGCTCTGGGATCCAGCCTTATAATTTAAGAGGAATTGTATTTCAGCTTCTGTATTCTTTAACGGAATAGGAAGCGATTGAGGTTTGGTGAATGGCTCGACAATTAGCACACTTCAGTCCAATCACACGGCTTTGTTGAGTTTATTTAGCGCCGGCGCTCTGATCTTCTGTCTGTCAGACACCAAATCATTTGTTAAAGCAAGCAAACTCTTGTTCAAGGTGCAAATGACATCAGGCTTCATCGGTGTGGGCCGATGGCTTCAGGACGGTCCAGTGGAACCGCAAACTACAAAATGCATTGCTTTTTCATTTGCATTCGGTTAACATGGAGTATGAGAGGAAAACAAAGACAAATTGCAAAATTATGCAGAAAAATATTTATGTTTTGTCTGGAAAATAAATGCAGGAAGACTGTAACAGCAGAGGTCATTTTTATTTGTGGATTTTTGTCTTATTTATTCATGTGAAATATACTGCTTTAAAGGGTTAGTTCACCCAAAAATGAAAATTCTGTCATTAATTACTCACCCTCGTTTTGTTCCAAACCCGTAAGACCTTCGTTCATCTTCAGAACACAATTTAAGATATGTTTGATGAAACCTGAGGGCTCTCTGACCCTGCATAGACAGCAAGGTAACTACCACGTTCAAGGTCCAGAATGACGTCATCATGCCGGATCTGGGTCAGCGCCGCCACACGCTCGTGAACGCGCATCCAAAGTGACGCAGTAGAGACGAAAATGTGGAATAAAGTTGTTATTTTTGTTTTCTTTGCGCAAAAAGTATTCTTGTAGCTTCGTAGCTTTACAGTTGAACCACTGGTGTCACACAGACTACTTTGTCGATCATCTTGGTACTTTTCTGGAGTCTTACGGGTTTCGAACAAAACGAGGGTGAGTAATTAATAACAGAATTTTCATTTTTGGGTGAACTAACCCTTTAATAATGGTCATTTTGGAGAGGTTCGATTTTATTTAAATTCAGCTTTGCATCACAGGAATAAATTGGCAAACTAAATAGTAGTGCTGGGCGGTATACCGGTTCATACCGAATACCGGTGTTTATTTTTGTTATGATATGAATTTTTAAAATACCGCAATACCGGTGCATGTGTACGAAACAACGTTTGGAACGCGACACTGTTTGAAAGGGGTCCCTTTTAGGGCATTCTAAGTCAATATACTGCAGTATTTCCTCTGAATCAGTAGAAAATATGGTTAACACCCGGTCATGCATGGAAAAAAAAATACCGTCTTGTACCGTGAAACCGGTATAATTTTGAAAAATACCGTGATATACATTTTTGGTCATACCGCCCAGTACTACTAAATAGTTCTCTCCTTAAATATTAAGAGATCAAACAACATATTAATGAGTTACTCCAAATTTCACCAAAAGCTTATGGATGTAATTATAAGTCAGATATTTAAGTGAGTTGCTTCTTAGGAAGATTCATTCATGTGTTTTGGATGGCTCTTATGGTTTTGCTAGTGAATCGCTTGAACTGAATGATCGAAGTCACGAGTTTGAATCAATCGGTGCGGTTCCAGATTAAATGACTCACTCAATTGAATCGGTTTCTCTGTCTTCAGTCATGTTTACACGACACTGTCAGCACTACTACTGGCTCAGCTCACTAGTGTTAAAAATATGATGTTTGCATATAAAATCCATATTTCCATTCCAAACATAACATCTATATTGAGGTGAGGTAACCGGTTTACTGCTAACTAGTGAAACACTCCATTAATATAATGAGCTGCAGCTCAAAATACATGTTAGATGGAAACATTGTGCATTATGATGGAGTTTGTAGCTTAATTCACTATATTTGAAATAGTTTGAGCTGCAGTTCAGTTGCTGACAGTTCAATAGAAATCAGTTGAAAGCATCCAGTATATTATCAGTATATATTGTAATAAATATCTGAGAAATGATTGTTGTATCTGATTGTATTAGTCTGTATAGAGTAATAGTCGATGTAAAAAGAGCAGATGAACACAAAACAATTACATAGTCAGAATATTATATAATCACAATTTACAAATGATTTACTTCTCTATATATTAATGATTTACATTTAGTTTTGTATTTGTATATTCACACTTAAATCTATGTATTCCAGTTTGCATTTATATATATTTACAGCTATAACTGCATACTCACGATTTACATTTATGCATTCAGATTTATAACTATATATTATGATTTATTTAGTTTCATACTAATATTTACATATTCAGATTGACTTCTATATATTCTAATTTACATTCATATATTAAAATGTATAACTATATATTCAGATTTACATATTTGATGTAATTATTTATAATTGTTTTACATAATTATCGGCTCTTCATAAACATTAAAAATACATTTTAATTTACATTTATTTATTTATTTTATATCCAAACAAATAAATATGTGACCCTGGAGCACAAAACCAGTCATAAGTCGCTGGGGTATATTTGTAGCAATAGCCAACAATACATTGTATGGGTCAAAATTATTGATTTTTCTTTTATGTCAAAAATCATTAGTATATTAAGTAAAGATCATGTTCCATGAAGATATTTTGTAAATTTCCTACCGTAAATATATCAAAACTTAATTTTTGATTAGTAATATGCATTGCTAAGAACTTCATTTGGACAACTTTAAAAATGATTTTCTCAATATTTAGATTTTTTTGCACCCTCAGATTCCAGATTTTCAAATATTGTCCTATCCTAACAAACCATACATCAATGGAAGCTTATTTATTCAGCTTTCAGGTGATGTATAAATCTCAATTTCAAAAAATTGACCCTTATGACTGGTTTTGTGGTGCAGGGTCACATATGCTTGTATTGTGAAAACAAAACGAATGAGTATAAAATGTAGATGTTTTTATATTTTCTCTCTTTTACTCAGAACATCCTGCTGTACTCAGACCTCCAGGAGTCGACCTTCGACCTGCGGAAGCTGCCGACTCACTGCTTTGAGGCCATGGATCATTTCAGCAAGTGTTTCCTGATCATAAAGCTGAAGCGCGAGCAGGAGACGGATGCGAGAGCGGGAAAGGACTGGAAAGCGGTGCGTGTGGATCTGGTGGCTCCGCCGCTGGAGCGCTTCGCTTACGCCCTGCTGGGATGGACAGGATCCACGGTACGAGCACAGATATCTGCACAACCAGTCAGTGCCAGGACTCGATCACCCAAAAAATCAAGCACGATCCTGACACATCTTTCACATGCTCAGAACAAAATATTTAGGCATAAATTTAACAGTTAGTTGGTTAATTAGTTTGTTGATAATTTGCGTGAAAATATTACTACATGTTGCACAGTGGACACTTAATAGTAACTACTAAAAAGCAATAATAATAATGTTAATTTAAATTCATTATTATTTTTGATTAAAGAAATTTTGTATGAACTTGAAAAAATTGTAACTAAGAAAATTTTTTTTTTTTTTAAATTAAAAGTTAGATGTTCATACAATTATATTAATAATTTGTATTTAAAAATTCGAAATAAATTATGTTTCATTATATATATATATATATACGTATACACCTGGTTATTTTGTATTTAAAACCCATTTAGAAATCTGACCGGTTTCATTTATGCACACTGTACAGAATTTCCACCTTAAATTGTTACGTATAAAAAATGTGGCTGTAAAAGTAATTTTAACTTAACTTATATGAAACGGACTTAAAAGCATTTTCATTTAAATATATTTTTATTTTTATTAAAAATTACCTTAAGAAAAATTTTTACTAAGAAAAAGCAATAATAACTTTATTTTTAATTAAAAGTTAAATATATATAAAAAAATAAAAAAAACCTCATGAATTAAAAACCAAATTTGATATTAGTTAAATTAATCTGATAAGTTAAAGTAATGGAAAATATGTTTATTGATCATATAATTTTTTACAGTGTGTGACAGACAGATATGCATGACATTAAGTTTATTAGTTTGTTTGTTTTAAAGCTTTGTAATCCAAAAAGATGCAACATTTTTTATGCAGTTCATATAAATCTTAAATGTAGGCCTAAATATCGTGCATACTGTATTCGACAGACTCCACAATAGACTCCATCTATTGTGTTTGTGTCCGATAAGCACAGAGGAAAGTCTTTAGGGGCGTCAGAGACGGATAGAGTTTGACTCGAGCTGTTTATAGATGACCCCTGACCTTGTGCCTGAGCGCTCACGTCCCCTGCGTCGCGTCTGCAGGCCGAGCTCGACCCATCAGCTGTAATTATTTTCTCCCACTCACCGCCTCCTGGGCCTTGCTATCCCATGATGCCTTGAGCACCCACGGATCGCTGAAGCCGTTCGAGGACCACCAAGATGGAGAACAAGAGGAAGTTCGTTTCTGCAGCTTATCATAATTAATAAATCATTCCATTATGTGCATCTCATTAGACGTTGGGAGTACTTTAAAATGAATTCATGCATTTATTAATTAATGCATTCTCTCTTCATGGCATCCAGTAGTGGCGTTTATTTCCAGCCCGACCAGCCGTGACCTAGAGGAGCTTTAGATAATGACAGAAAACATTAAAAGCACTGTATGTTTGAAGAGCTTAATGGAGGAGCGTTTAAAAAGGTCTGCTGGCCACCATAAGAGTCTCTAAAGAGATTCATGATGCTTAATGCCATAAACAACAGCATCAGTGCACGGTAGTGTGTTCAGGTTCGCTTTAAATCTCATTTAACTGCTTTATTTGCTCAAGGGAAATATATAAACAAGAAATAACAAACTCCATAATATTGCAGACGCTCTACAGTTTAATGGCTTTATTCTTTAGATTATTCTGTTTGTGTACGAGCGGGAACTCACTGCGCTCTGGTAATATTATCTGTAACTGATCAGACGGTCCGATATTATAATGCACAATGTGATTTACACAGATAGCATGGGTTCCTGGATCAATATCAACATTCATGTGCTGCATTTAATCTCATTGCAGTTTACAAAAACATCTGAGATATTAAAAATATCACATTTGGGGGTTTATTTTATATTTCCAATGTGTAACAATAAATGTATATATACACACACACACACACACATATATATATATATATATATATATATATATATACTGTATATATATATTACACTGTTTTAACATTAATAAATTTAATGTTATGCATAATAGTATGTCATGTATAAATGAAATGGTAATAGTAATTTCTGTAATAGTCCTAATAAATGGAATGGGTTTTAAATACAAAATAACCAGCATTATTATATATTTAGAGTTTATTTAGAATTTTTAATAAATTAACATTTCAAAATTTATAAAGAAATGTTATAAACAATTTTATGAATATATAATCTTTAATGAAAAATAAAAGCATTGTTATTATTATTATCATTATTATTATGTGTAATGCATTTTGAATATTATTATTTTAAATACAATTATATTTTTAATAAAATTACATTATAAATTTTCTACATTTTCTGTGTGAATCTAAATTTATTCCTGTGATGCGCAGCTGTATTTTCAGCATCATTACTCCAGTCTTCAGTGTCACATGATCTTCAGAAATCAGAATAATATTTTGATCTGTGAACAAAAAAATTCAGGCTTGTTGAACAATTTTTTTCAAACTAACTTGGCTGTATGAAGGTGCCATTAAATGCATGAAATTACCATGTTAATGTGCAAAGAACATGGTAAAACCATGGCATTCTTAGAAAATAAAATATATGAAATCGGTTTTTCGTTCTTTCTCCAGCTGTTTGAAAGAGACCTGAGACGGTTCGCCAGATTGGAGCGAGGAAAACTGCTGGACACTATCTTTGTGGGGACATTTGGTCCCCATAACGTGATAAATACCAGGTACACACACACACACACACACACACACACACCTCCTCATGACTGCACTGAACACTGCTACTGATCGGAAATAGAATATGTGAGAAATTGCAACACTCAGTATGATGACTGTGGGAGCTAAGGTCTTTCAGGTCATTAAAAGACCTTTTATAAGAATCACCGGCTGATTCTATTCTCCAGGTTTCATGTGCATTCAACAGATCGGCATGAAAAATACAGGCTTTTTATCATTATATTTGTCATGAATTGAAATGTATTCTTGACAAGCTTCTGAGATTTTCCTTTCAATTAGGAGCTGTACTTCCATGACATGAAAAAGCTGGGAATTGTTGAATATGGAGGCCGTATTTAGAAAGTCAAACTAAACGGCTGTCGTGTGGCTGAATCTTTGTCTTCAGATGGTTTACAAGCAGATTTAGCATTCAGTATTTTTATTTTCTGTAGAGAACAGCAGATGTTCCTGTCTCTGCTTTCATCCCATTTAGTGTTGATTGAGTTCAGAGAGCAGGAGTTCCATTAAACTTCCTAGAGGTCCAGTCTGTAATTTAATTAGATTTTTTTCTGAAAAAAGAACAAAAGCGATTAGATTAGCGTCTCTACTCACCCGAGTGAATCTGGGCGATTAGACGAACAAATCTTGATGTTGATGACTTGTCTCTATGAGTTAGTCTATGGTTTCTGTCCGCTGTTCACATGAATAAACAGTGAGTTGATGATTTTTTTCTGCAATTATGATTCTTGTGTAAATGCTTTGTGAATCTTTTGATGATATATGTTGCTTCAGATGCTCTTTTCTCCATGCGTAGGAAAAACATAATTATAATTAAGGCATTTTGTCTTGATGCAACTAAAGCAAACGCTTCTCTAGAGCTCAAAACCTTGGCAGGTGTGTGTGTGTGTTAGTTTTAGACCAAATTTGAAACTGAAGAACTGGCGCTCTTTCCATTCATGAGTGTGAATTGAATTGAATTGGCCACCGCTCACAGGAAGTTGGATTGGAAATATAAATAGATCTGTGTATGTATTGATCTGTGAGGCCTGGAAACTTCAAACTTCAAGGCTTTTGAAACTTTCAAACAAGCCAACATTCAAATATTGTTTTTGCTTTATAGTTCAAAATGACAGTCGCATGAATTTCTTTTGAATTTCAGTTCATTTTAATTCTGCTTATTTAAATTTAGCATTGTGTTTGCTACCCCAATTAAAACTCAATTTTGAATCAGGAATTGCATTGGTATTAAATGAGTGTGACAAATGATTGCGTTCATTAGACACATCAGAAAACAATCCGGCTTGTTGCTTTGACAACTGCATAGCAACACCCTAGCAACCGCATAGCAACCACTGGAACATTGTGACTAGATTATGTTCATCAGTCACATCAGAAAACAATCAGGCTTGTTGCTTTGACAACTGCATAGCAGTACCCTAGCAACCACATAGCAACACCCTTGCAACCACTGGAGCATCGTGACTAGATTATGTTCATCAGTCACATCCGAAAACCATCAGGCTTGTTGCTGTGACAACTGCATAGCAACACCCTAGCAACTGCATAGCAACACCCTAGCAACCGCATAGCAACACCCTAGCAACCACTGGAACATTGTGACTAGATTGTATTTATCAGCCACATCAGAAAACTATCAGAAGTGTTGCTATGACAATAGCTTAACACCCTATCAACTGCATCAAGTCAAGTCGTGTTGTGGCCGACACGGACTGACTGAGGTCTTCCAGATAGAAAGTTCAGGATCCAATTACAGAGGGAATTGCTAACGCCCAGCAGGTTTAGTTTATTGATGAGCTGTTGTGGGATTATTGTGTTGAATGCTGAGCTGAAGTCGATGAACAGCATTCTAACATAGGAGTCTTTATTTTCTAGGTGGGTAAGAGCCAGGTGGAGGGTGGAGGAAATTGCATCGTCTGTAGAGCGGTTTGGACGGTATGCAAACTGGAGCGGATCGAGTGTGTTGGGGAGGCTGGTTTTGATGTTGTGCATGACTAACCTCTCAAAGCACTTCATCATGATTGGAGTCAGTGCTATGGGACGGTAGTCGTTTAGACAGGACACAGGTGATTTCTTTGGTACCGGTATGATTGTTGTGGATTTGAGACATGTGGGGACGACTGCCTGGCTCAGCGAGGTGTTGAAGATATCTGTTAGGACATCCGTCAGCTGTGCAGCACAGTCTCTCAATACACGGCCAGGTATGTCGTCAGGACTGCATAGCAGCACCCTAGCAACCACTGGAGCATTGTGACTTGATTGCGTTCATCAGACACATCAGAAAACAATCGGGCTTGTTGCTGTGACAACTGCATAGCAACACCCTACCAACCACATAGCAACAGCAGGCGTGTTGCTGAGACAACCACATAACAACACCCTAGCAACCACAGGAGCATTGTGACTAGATTGCATTTGTCAGACACATCAGAAAACCTACAGGTGTGTTGCCATGACAACTGCATTAGTAAAACCCCAGCAACCACATAGGAACACCTAAACAACAACTGAATTGTGACTAAAGTGTTTGCATGGGAAACACAGCTCATATTTTCTTAAGAACTATAAAAATCTGCTTATTTCTTGAACTCTATTAGGCGCTAGTCACACTTTTCACCTTTCAGTTCTTGTGTTGTGCAGTTAAAATGTAAATATGAGGAGCAGACAGTTTATCTTGACATATATGAATGTTTTGAGGAATTATCGCAAATCCCATACATGCTCAAAGGTTATAAAAAAGGATCAGAGTAATTTGACCTCATTCAGAAATGCACATATGTAGCATGATGGGGTTTTGACTTGATTCGGTCCTAAATATGAATCACCACGTTCATATTCTGATGATGGACATTAGAGCCATATGTTAAATACAGTAGCTGCTGATAATTTCATCATGTTTATTGTGTTCAGCTCTGGCTGTTAATGTCGGTTCGTTTGTGTGCAATAAATTGCTTTGGTTATTGTGTTCAGATAAAATAAGTCCTCTGCACAGAGATTTCATTTATTAATGCATTTACACACACACATAAACATAAACACATGCACATTAGCAGACTGACTAACACACACACACACACACACACACGCACTCATACACTCTCACACACACACAACACACACACCCACACGCACTCATACACTCTCACACACACACACACACACACACACACAAACACAACATACACTTTAATGGAAAACACAATTGCAGACTGGTAAAAAAAAGAAAAACTGATTGAAAAATAATTTTTTACAGAGGTGCAAATTAACTGTCGGGCTTAAAAATATATTGGCTTTTTCCCGACAATGACTAATCAAACGTGAGGTCTCGATGGGCGGCGGGCGGCGGCTTCTGGCTTAGTTATGGCACTCGCCTCATATTAACATGCATTGATTTTCCTGCAATTTTTCCATAACGCAGCAATCCGTCAAAGTCGGCCCGCACCGGTCGCTGTGACAGCTCAGCGGCAGGCCTGCTGACAGACAATCAGGCCGGACTCCTCAGGAGGATTTCACCAATGAGCCAGCGTTAATATAACGTGTCCTGTCACGGCACCGGAGAAACGCTCCGATCGCTCAGTCTCTGACTCAAATGCTGGGAGACTGATAAATGCTGGAGTCTGTAGCAGCTGTCATCGCTCTCTCATCTTTCTGTCCTTCTGTCTTTTCTAGTTCATGCAAATGTCCTCGGCTGTGAGGTGGATGGAGCGAAATGGACAGTTTGTGTAAAACGAGTTGTAGGATTCACGTTTTGCATTGCAGATCATGTTGTGAATTAGAAAACATGTTCTCTCGCTGATTGGAAAGAAAATAGAGCATCTAAATGTCATTGCATTTATTCAGCTAGTGATTAGGTGATTTTTAGTGGATGTGTAAAGTCAGTTCCCACAATAAGTTGCACAATGATTTTGGTCTTAAGTTACTACATTGATGTGGTCCAGATATATATATTTTTTTTTTTTGCAAAAAATCCAACTGTTTGAATCCTTCCAACTGATATCATGTGATATACACTACTGTTTTTTTTTTCAAGGATGCATTAAATTGATCAAAATTGACCATAAACACATTTATTATTTATAATGTTGCAAAAGATTTCTATTTCAAATAAATGCTGTTCTTTTGAACTTTCTAGTAATCTGTGAATCCTGAAAAATCAAATATATCACAGTGTCTGCAAAAATATTGTGCAGCATGACTGTTTTCAACATTGATAATAATCAGAAATGTTTCTTGAGCAGCAAATCAGCATATTAGAATGATTTCTGAAGATCATGTGACACTGAAGACTGGAGTAATGATGCTGAAAATACAGCTGCGCATCACAGAAATACATTACAGTTTAACAGATATTCAAGTAGGATACATCTATTTTAAATTGTAATATTTCAAGATTTCATTGCATTTACGATCAGATGTATGAAGGCTTGATGAGCAGAAGAGACTTTTTAAAAATCGTACTGACCCAAAACTTTTGAACAGTAGTATGTTCGATAAAAGCATCCCATTGTCAGTATACATATTAGTAATTTGGCTGCATTTTTTTTTTTTTTGAAAAAGAGATGGAGAAATAGAGTGTGTGTTTGTGACGAATGTTATCTTTTCAAATCAAAATGAAATTAAAATGCTCCCTTTTTTCCGCTAATACATGTTCTTGGTTTTATTGGGAGTGATTCATCAGTGCTTGTTATTCCAAACAACAAAAAATGATTGTGTAATCTTTCATAAAAGCAAAGATCCTGACATCCACCCGACTCTATTCTGATATTTAACAGCTATTTTCATGATCCAATCAATTCTTAATGGATAAAATCAAATCCCACTCTATAATTTTTTCTCATTGAATCTCTTTTTTCACTTAGAATGCATCATATTATTGAAGTGAAATGGGTTGCAAATTGCATTGCAAGCTGACTTTAAAACTTACAAATCTTTCATGATTTATGTTTTGCTTCAAAAGTGTTTGTGCATTTGAATCTAATGCAATTAATTATTATGCACCGCTGTATAAGAGACATGACCAGATGCATGACTTCAGCAAACACGAGTCAAATGCACAGCAGAAGGTTGTTAGATGATGGACAGTGTGATACATCTCTGAACTGGTGTCGTGCCCTTTGGATTCATTTGCATGATCTTGTCAAAAGCCCACTTCACATGAGACGGGAAAGACACACCCTGCCACTCTCAGTGTCAATGTCTGACACTTTTGAGGGCACAAATCACTATTTTAAGATGTTTATGTGAAGTGGAAGGGCAGAGAGCACGCCGACAGTTTGAGAATCGGTTGGGTTTGTGCATAAAAATAAATGCCGCTGTTGAGTTTTATTCGAAAGCAACGAATA